AAACACACACACACACACACACAAGGGATTGTGGTAAGAGAATTGTGCATTGTTTCTTCCATTGTTTATAATTCGATTTATAATCCATTGTTTCTTCCAATTCAATCGAAATAGAATTGTGCTAAGAGAAGAAAGCCTGCAACACAATGGATTAGTGTTTATAATTTCCATCTGGATATGAAGCAAAGATATCATTACGATGTTAAAGGCTCGAGGCTGTCCCCGAAGATTGCGGAGGGAAAAGAAGACGGGTTATTTGTCAGCAGTGTTGCTTCTTGTTCCAATCTTTGGGCTTTGATCATGGATGAGGGCACCGGTTTCTCGGATCAAGTTTATGATCTCTCTCCATTTTTTCTTCATGATGAATGGATCAAGAAACGACGGGAGAAGGATTTTTATATAACCGCGATAGCTGGAGCCGACGATGGAAGTTCATTAGTTGTAATGTCGAAAGGGACTCAGTTTCTTAACCAGAGATATAAAGTGAATGATTCATTTCCATTTCAGTGGATTAAGGGAAAACGGGAAAAGGGATATTATGTTACAGCCATGGCCACTTCGGGCCGTAGGTGGGCAATTGTTGTGTCAAAAGGCGCCGGATTTTCGGAACAGTTTGTGGAAGTGGATTCTAAGTATCCGAGTGAGCGTATTCGTGGAAGGTGGAAAAGTGACTGCTTCATCACTGCTGCGGCGGCGACGGTGGACCAGGCTGCTTTTGTTCTTAGTGTGCCAAGAACAAAACCAGATAGTTATAAACAAGAGACATATAGAAGTTCTAGTTTTCCTAGTAAATGTATCCGCGAGAATTGGGAGAAGAATCTTTATGTTACCACCATTTGCTATGGTCAAACTATTTCCTGATCAGCTGCCAACGTTGTTCCTACGAATTTGTACATGTGATCTTAACCATTATCAACGTATCTACATTGTCTTTGGGAATTGTCACTTGTGTATTTCCTTTTACTAGATTGTTTATATATATATATATAAAAAAATAAAAAAATAAAAAAATAAAAAAAAACTTTTATCACTACGATTTGTCAGGATAATTATACTATTGTAAAGCAATTTATCTGCGATATTTTTCTATTTGATGAATTGAATAAATTGCTGTTTTTCTTTATTGTATATTTTTCTACTCGAATAAACTAGGACCCTAGATTATTTTGTATTAATTTAAAAGTTTTTCATAATCAAAAACATGTTGGCAATGGTACATAAAAGTTTTTAAATTGACGCCCCTCGTGTTTGACTGAAATTACAGATACGCCCGCGCATGGCAAAAGAAAATAACATCAACACCTTCTGACTTAATTTAAAAAAAAAAAACACCCACTCTGTTAGTTGATCGAGACATAATTTTCCTTTGGTCCCTAATTTTTATAAATTATGTCAACTATTTAACACCTAGTAAATGGATGAACAAAAACTGAAATAAAATAATAGATTAGGTACCAATTGCAAGATATTTTAAAAGTTACAGACCAAAGATTTAAGGTAAATTGCAAGGACCAATTGCGAAAGAAACCCTAATTACAATGATAATGATAATTTAACCAAATTCATTTTTCCCATTTTTATTTCAAATTCAAGTACTATATATTGGATTCAAATCTGATGTCTAATTTTTGGCATCCTAATTGGTGTCTAACCAAGCAAAATGTGACACGCATTTAATAAATTTAAATATCAAAATAAGAAAAAGTTCTTACTTGAAAAGATATTTCAATTTTTAAAATGATGTAGCAAAATATGATTGATTAGACACCATTTTAGACACTGAAATTGCATAGGTAATTTGAATATCACTTTTAATAATTGTTTTGGAATCTGTTTAAATCATAATTAAGCATGTTTTCTGATTCGTATTGTAATGACTGAGAAAATTTCAGACCTTAAATAATACAATTTATGTATTTAACCCAAGGATTTTCCTAGAAAATATTATGTTATATTGTGAATGGAGGATTTATGAAATTAATATATGTATTCCTAAATTCTATAGCAGATTTCATGTTAAGTTCATATTCCGATCAAGTAAATTCGATCGATAAATTCTCACCATATTTTAAGGTGGAATAATTTTCAGTACAAGTATAGTTTGAGAATCTTAATTTCAAGAATCTCAAAGCACATCACGATGTTAGCAGTGTGTAACAAAAAAAAACGCACTGACATTTTAAAAGAAAATAAAATCCTTAATTGTCAGACAGCTAGGTTAAAGTCACAAGATAAATACCCATAGCAGAAGGGTACGATGTGAGCTCGGGAGTTGACACCGTCAAAAACAACGTCATTCCCGGGATAGAATGTTGAGAAGTTAGATTTAGAATTTGTTCAGTCTAGAATTAATTTCAAGACTTGAAACAGTTCGAAATATTATGCGAGTAAGAATATAAAACAATATTGAATTATTCAGAAATTAATATTGAACTGTAAGTAGTAGATTAAATTACGTGAGCTAAATTAATTACCTCTAATCAGTATAAATTTAATCTGTTTAGAAAAAATATTTGAGGATAAGATCAAGCATGTAATTTTACCTTAATCAGACACTTTATATAGTGAAATTATTAGGGTACTCTCACTTTCTCTCTCTTATTCCCGCTCTCTCTCTCTCTTCTCTCACGTTCTCTTACAAAACCATCAATGGCCAAATACTCAAGTTGAGATTCCGACCTCCGTTTTTGACACCGCCGGTGTCAATAGAAAGATCTCAATGAGCTGAGTTCAACGACATGCGGTACGACCTCTAACTCCACCGGAATCAGCCTCAATCGCCGGCGGAAGTTCCGAAATTACCCATTTTTCCTGTCGTGATATCTCCGCCATCCGACCTCCGATTGAGATGATTTCAGTCCCTATGGACTCAGTACAGCAAGACGAAGAAAACCCATCCATTTTTACAGCTTGATTCTGGCCGGAACGCCACCGTCCGTGGTGGTCGGAATCACCGCTGCCGCCGCCATCGTTTCTCTCTCTCAAGGCCGTCGTGGATGTCACCGCCCCCACCAATCGACTCAGAAGCTGACGCCCAGTAGATCCTGACCAGCAGCCACCATAGCCGTCACAGTGTGGCCGGAAAATGGAGCCACTGCCGTCGTCCGTGGAGGGAAGAGGTGTTTCTGACGATCTAACCGTTGGATCGTAGTGACTTTGGTGTCACAACACTCAGAAGGAAGCGGGTAAGAAACTTGTTATGAATATTATTCTAGGCCGTGGGCAGATTTTGACAACAACCTTTTGCTATATATTTTCCGTCGTCTGGCTCCCAAGGAATTATTTCATGTCGTTTCTCTAGTTTGTCGTTCATGGAGATCAGTGTGTTGGGATGTATTATTTTTGAAAGATGGTCTGGAAACCCTTGATCTAACCAGTTTAATTCATATTATAAATAGAAAATTAAATAGAGAGTTATATTACTAAAAAAAATTTAATTTCCTTTTTCCATAAATAGAGAGTTTTTCATAAAAAAAGATAACACCGTTCACTTCACCGATTCGAGTTTAGAATTTGAGTTTTGCTACAGTAAAAAGTTCTCAGAAACAGTCACATCTAACTTTTTTACTACAGTAAAAAACTATCACATAAAATCACATCTCAACTCGAATTACAAACTCGAATCAGCAAAGTAAACGGGCCATATTATTTCTACCATCAATTTTGAATTTATCATTTATGCCACTAAAAAGATAGTCTACTAGGCTATTTTTCATATCCTGTAAGATATCTTTCATATTTGTAGGTCTCCTTTTTTAAGTCTAATTTTTTTTCCTCCAAAAATAATGTTAAAATGCCCTAACATAATATTTATAATTATGATAATTAATGACAAGAAAACAATTTATTATAACAGGTAAAAAAAACAAGAAATTCGTGAATTTCATTAAATTGGTCATCCATACTAACAAATGATTGGGAACTTGGTGTCGACAGATTAAGAGTTTAGGATGTAAGTTCTAAAGATTTTAAAGTTTGGGAATCCATGACACAAAAATGCCAAAATTTAAATGACAAACGAATTAGATATTAATTATTAGTTTTAAATTAGTGATAAATTCAACCATTGACGTAAAAAAGAAAAATAGAAAAGGAAAGAATAACACGTAAAAAAACATGTCAAAATTGTTTCGAGCATTCCCAAGACTGCACTGTGTGTTTTTCTTATCTTTGTACGCCTTAATACCCCTAGGCTTTTTTACACCGTTGGATTATGTTGTGAAGAATAAATGAATCAACCTGTTGAAATCGATGGCTCATGTATTATAGAGGCCCGGTTCTGCCGAAGAGAAAAAAAGAAAAAAAAAAGTCACAATTATCCTTTTTTGTCTTTTGATATTTAAATTTCATATTTAAGCTATTACCAAATCTATTAATCCAAATCTAAGTCTGAACTAGATTTTATATAAAGTATTTGCTATTCTATATATAAAACTCTAAACCATGTTTGACTAGAACGGATGCAATTCCTCCTTTTCCCCATATATATATATATATATATATAAAAGAGAAAAAAAATCCTTCTCACTAACCCACTCTTAATCGCTCCTTCAGTTCGACTACCTCAGGTACGTTCGACTCTTTCCAAGCTTTTGAATTTTCACCTTTTTTTTTTCTGGTCAATGGTGATTGTATAACATGATGCATCTGGTTTATATTTGTGAATTATTGTGATTCTCTGTTAAATTTATTTGACTGTTGACTAATAGAAATCCTTTTGACTTGGAATATTTTATACAATGAACTTTCTGTTGATGAATGATGGTTATTCATGGAAGAAAATTTTGCTATAAAATTAGCTATCTAGAAAGAATTTGTGAAGATCCTTGTATATATTTGGTTTCAAGAGTATTCGATCAGAAGAAGAGAAAAAAGTCAGGGACCGGAAGATTGCATTATTTATTCATTTATCGAGGTTTTATTGCAATTTTATCGACATGTTCTTCCTCAAAACAGTGCAAGGAATTCAACCGGAAGGGGAAAAAAATATCGTCCGAGGAATGGAAAACATAAGAAGACAGAAGAAGAAGAAAAACACGATGATTAACCTGCTGAAACGCTACAAACAACAAGAAAAAGAAGATAATGAGGATTACGAACATAACATTCCTTACATTTATGAACATATTTTGCTCCAAATATTTGCAAAAATTCCACAAGAAGATCTTCAGGAGTTAAGGTACACGTGCAAGTTTTGGAACAAGACAATTTCCAACAACAAATTCATGGCCCAGAATTTCCTCCAATCTAAATCCTCACTTCTGATACAATTCCGCAAAAAATTTGCAGTTACTTTCAAGTCAAAATTGTTGGAGTTAGATCATGAAGGGCTAGGATTTAAGCTAGACCACTTTGCCAATATGACTCGGATGGGGCAATTCAGGTCTACTTGTAATGGTTTGATTTTGATAAATAGCATATTGAGGATAAACAGATCAAGAGCAATATATAGATTTCTTGTAGTGAATATGGTCACCAAGTGCCAAATTACTATCCCAAACTGCCCATCTGGTTGTAGACACCAATTTTGTAGTTTGTCACTAGTGTTCACTCCTCATGATCAAAAGCATTACAAAGTTGTGCACATTTCCTCGAATCGATTCGGGTTCGAGATTTTGACCTTAGGTTGTGCTGGAAACCAATGGAAGGTAATTCCCGGGCCATTTCAAGATGAGGCATATGACCGATCTTGGGATAATCCTGTGTCAATCGGGCAGTTCCTGCACTGGGATGTTGAATCTGACTTTTACATCTTATCAATGGATGTTTACAATGAAACGACGTGGAAGACTTACCTACCTCATTATTATGTGTCGTTTCGCATAGACAGAATGTCGTTGATCGAGATGGGGGGCCATCTTTGTTTCATGTACAGTTACACCACCACTCAGTTTGATGTTTGGGTTCTGAAGGATGCTCGCGGCCAAAATTGGCAGAGGAGTTTTAGTATTTTTGCCGAGTCGATCAATTACTTGCTGCCACGCGGCGCGAGCCCGATCGGGGAGTGGGAAAATGCCTTACCAGATTTTCAAAACCTTGTTACCCTTTGCAGCTTGAGAAATGGTGAAGTCATAGTTTTCAGGAATTTGAATTCTCGTTGGTTGTACCTATACGACACCAAGATCAAGGAGTTGAGAAAATTAAGTGAGCTGTCGTCATACAAGGATTATGATGTATTGCCGTACAAGAGCAGCCTTATCTATTGGCAAAATGCTGAAGAGCTATTGTCTCGAGAAACTATCTAGCCAGCATTATTCATTACTACTTTATTGGCAGAGAGGTATATCAGCTGAAAACCCCGTTCGTTTCACAGATCCAATTACAACTCAAACTATTTTGCTATTTTCCTCACATAAGTTAGATGTGACATTTTTTTAGAGCTTTTCTCTGTAGCAAAAAAGTTAGATGTGACATTTTTTGATAATTTTTTACTGTAAAAACCTAAAACTGAAAACTCAAATCGGTGAAATAAACGAGACCTAACTGTCAACTCAAATTCTCAATCAAAACCGCAAAACGAACAGGCCCGACATTCTGAAAGTGCGTATTTGTATTCAAGTCTAAAGTTTGTGTTCTTGTGATTAATAAGTGGAACATGATCTTTTGAGCAAAAAAATTGAACAGCATATTGATCATATATTGGTTTTTTTTTTTTTTTTTTTTACATTACTCTTTTGCAGTCTTCTAGTTACTCTTGTTTAGTTTCTATGGTTGTTTTTCTTTTTCAGTTTAGGTCTTTTCGAGAATTTTTTTTCCTTCTTCAATAACTTTTTTTGCAATAAAAAACTTTGTTATTCTTGTAATTAGTTGCAAGTATAATCGTTGAATAAGATGGCGAATCCTTTTTCTGACACGTATTATTCTTTCTCTGGCAATTGTGTGCTTATTTATTTATTTATATTAGTTGTTCCATTGTGAAGTTTGAAGAGTTTATTAGTTTGGCCTTTGTCATTTACAATATTCTTTGAGTGATCCCATTTACTATACTAACTTATTAGTTTTTAAGTAATTAACATATTTTAAAATAATTAAAGTAAATAACATATTTACTCTATTTGCTGGGCGTGAATTATTTACTTACCGGTAAATAATTTATTTACTGAATCATTTAATAAAATATGTTTTTTATTTTAACAACTTTTCAAAAATATGTTTTTTGAATTTTTTTTTTCAAAAAAGAGTCATCAATACCTGTGGATATCCATTCTATACAAAGGCTTTAACACACACACACACACACATATATATATATATATATATATATATATGGGTATGGTTTTAATGATTACTCTAATATTTATACTTCAATAAGTATTATTATTTTAGCCGTAAGATATTAATCTGACAGTTAAAATAAACTATATAGTTGACCAAAACAATTTAGTACAATTAGTGGACCTGGATTCTTATCACACCACATCATCAGATTTCTATATTTAGTGATAACCACCGATAAAAACGTAACCATTGAAAACTCATCCATATACATATATAAGAAACGTATTGAAAGTTCTAAATTTATATACATATCTACATGGGGTTATAAAATAAAAATCGGCTCCTATTTTTTAATTTTCTAATTTATGATCTGCTTGAGTTCGGAATCAATCTTTCCAAATCGTATCTAAGCAAGTTTCCTAATTTTTTATTTCAATTTTCTAGAATACTTTTCATAATCTCTCTAAGTTTCACATTAGGAAACTTGCTTAGATACGATTTGGTTTCCATATTGTGTTGTAATTTTTCATATTATGTGTTCTTTTACTTTCTAGTCGGTAAAGAGAAGATGTGGTTTCCATGGTGGTTTTTATGTTGACTGTAGTGGTAGGAGTGGAGGTCTTATGCTCATGTGGAAGGAAGAGGTCGAAGTTCATATACAGAGCTACTCTCGGTCCCACATTGACTGTCATGTTCGCTTCCCCAATGGTGTGTGGTGGAGATTTACCGGTTTTTATGGCAATCCGTCTAGGAGTGATCGACATCACTCTTGGACGTTACTGTTACGGTTAAAGTCTCTCTCTAACCTCCCTTAGGTTGTAGCTGGCGATTTCAATGAAATCTTCTTTCTTTCGGAAAAGGAGGGTGGAAACAATAGATATTATCCCAGTATGAACCAATTCCAGGATACAGTGGAGAGCTGTGATCTTGTTGACTTGGGTTTCGTAGGTCCTAAACTTACTTAGGATAATGGGCAGGAAGGGGGTGCTCATATACGTGAAAGACTTGATCGGGCTCTGGGGTGTGATGAATGGATTAATCTCTTCCTACACTATGGTGTTCGCAATATGGATTTCTACGATAGTGATCATAGAGCATTGTGGTTGGAGTTGGTTCGGGATAGAAATAGGGCCGGGAGGGGGCCCAAAAAAAGGAAGTGGTTCCGGTTTGAACCTTTCTGGATGACTGATGAGGATTTTAAGGAAACCTTGAGGACCTCATGGGGCACTACAGGATCGGTTGGGGACTGTGATGGTTTTGGTAGGAAGCTTCGGAGTTGCGGTCGAGACTTAAGTGGGTGGAGCCGCGTAAAATTTGGACGCATCACGCGGCGGGTCCGTAATTTACATTTCCATTGAGAGGATACGAAATGCATTTGCTTTGGGCTATAATCGAAGACGACTTCGGGAACTACTGGTAGAGCAAGACCGATTGTTAGCCCTGGAAGAATACTACTGGCGTCAACGCTCTCGAGTTGAATGGTTAAGAGGTGGTGATAAGAATACTAAATTCTTTCACTCAAAAGCTTCTCAAAGGAAGAAGAAAAATGAAATCAAAGGTCTTGAGAAGAGTGATGGGAGGTGGGTGACGAGTGACCATGAGGTTGTTGAGGAGATCAAAAAGTATTTTGCTGAGATCTTCATGTCATCCATGCCGAGTTTTTTGGATATAGAGTCCGTAACACAAGCAGTGACCTCTTGTTTATCTCCTAGAATGTGTTCTATGTTGGAGGAGCCTTTCACGAGGAAGGAGATCCATCAAGCTCTCTTTGCTATGGGACCTACCAAAGCCCCGGGGCCGGATGGATTCCATGCGACATTTTATCAAAAGAATTGGGATATTTTAGGAGATGACTTGACTAATATGTGCTTGCGGGTTCTCAATGATAATGCCTCTTTCCAAAACATGAATGCGACTAATGTTGTTTTTATCCCGAAGATTAAGGAAGCGAGGAGGGTGTCAGATTATCGACCGATAAGCCTTTGTAATGTTTCTTACAAGGTTATATCCAAGGCGTTGGCTAATCGATTGAAACGTGTTCTCCCTTTGGTTATCTCTCAAGAACAAAGTGCTTTCGTCCCGGGTCGGCTAATTACTGACAATGTGCTTGTGGCTTTTGAGGTCCTCCATTCCATCTGACATAAGGTGAGTGGCAATGTGGGCTTCATGGGTTTGAAACTAGATATGAGTAGGGCCTATGATAGAATTGAATGGCCTTTCCTTGAAGGGATGATGGAGAAAGTTGGATTTGGGCAACGATTTCGAGGGTTAATCATGAAATGTGTTTCCTCAGCTAGTTTTCCTTTATGATGGGCAATGAACCTCGTTGTTCGATTCGGCCGAGTCGGGGGCTCGCCAAGGTTGCCCTATTTCACCTTACTTATTTCTTCTATGTGCGAAGGGACTTACTGCATTACTCAAGCAAGCGAGTTTCTGGAAGGTTAGCAGATATTGCAGTTGCTCGCGCAGCACCAAAGGTAAGCCATCTCCTCTTCGCCGATGACTCTATTATTTTTGGGAAAGCTAAGAGAGATGATGCAAGGACAATTATGGAGATCCTTGAGATGTATGCGAAGGCGTCGGGGCAAGTGATCAATTTTGCTAAGTCAAAAATTACTTTCAGTCCAAACACTAGGGAAGAATCGAAAGATGACGTTAAGGGGTGTTTGCGGCTTGATGAGAATAGTCTCTCTTATGATAAGTACCTCGGGTTGCCCTCTTTTGTCGGTAGGAACAAACGGGCTACTTTTAATGCAGTCAAAGATAGTGTTTTTAAGAAGCTCAAGCTTTGGAGAGGGAGGCTATTCTCTATGGCAGGAAGGGAAATCTTGATTAAAGTAGTGGCGCAAGCTACTACCACGTATACCTTGGGTGTATTTCGGATCCCTCAAACTCTCTGTCAGGAGATTCAAGCTATGATTTCACGGTTCTGGTGGGGCGGCAACGACACTGAGAAAAAGATTCATTGGGCAAAGTAGGAGCTATTATGTTGTCCTAAGAGAGATGGGAGTATAGGCTTTCGTGATGTGGGAGCGTTTAATCAAGCACTTCTGGCGAAGCAGTGTTGGCGAATCCTTTCAAAACCTTCCTCCTTGGTGGCCATGATTTTTAAGGCTAAGTATTTTCCAAGGGGTGATTTTCTTAATGCTAATATTGGACACAACCCCTCATATACTTGGCATAGTATATTATGGGGACGAGAACTGTTGAAGAGTGGCATCCGTAGACGTGTTGGTTCTGGGAAATCCATTGGATGTTTTAGGGACCCTTGGATCCCTAGACCTCATTCATTCTGACCAATTACGACGATGGAACCGGGAGCTAATTCGTCATATTTTTCTCCCTATTGATTAAGAAATTATTCTCAACATGCCTTTAAGTTGTGGCTCTAGTGAAGATCTCTGGGTGTGACATTATGATTCTAAGGGGCTCTATTATGTTCGTGCCGGCTACAAGCTGGCCATAGGTCTAAGAAATTCGCTTAGTAGTTCTGGAGGGAGAGGGGATAGTGTGTGGTGGAGGAAACAGTGGGATCTTCATATCCCGAATAAAATCAAGAATTTCATGTGGAGGGCAACTTCTGGTTTTTTACCAACCTTTGCCAATTTAGCAAGGAGGGGGATTAATTATGCAACGAGATGTCAGCGTTGTGGGGAGGAGGAGGAGTCTACTTGGCATGCTCTATGGATGTGCCCTGCTGTTATTCAGGTGTGGGAAGTGAGTGCCCTTTGGCACAAGTTAGAGTCTCTCAACACTGGAGGTTTTGAAGCTCTATGCGTCATGTTTAGCAAAGAAGCAACTGGAGAGGATCTTGAAATTTTATGTGTACTGGCGTGGGCGATTTGGGCGGCTCGGAATCAATTTGTACATCATCGAGTATATTGGGAGCCGATGGAGATCCTAGGTACAACTGGGCGGACAATTGCTGATTTTCAGAGTTGTTGGGATCCGGCGGCCAAACATCGGACTACGGTGCCTATTAGTGAAGTACGCTGGAAACCTCCGGCGGCTGGACTTCTGAAGCTTA